TTTATGTATATACTTATATACAAGCTTCTACGCATACTTAAACCTTTTTTTCTTGTGTTATTCAAAAAAACAATTTTTTTATTTATTACAAAATTTTAAAGATCGTTCGAAAAGGTATGTATCATACAAAAAGAATTAAGAGATTTTTACAGATTATAAAAATGTAATTTTACGTAATTCATTCATAATGTTACATGTAAAACTAAGTTTTTTTGAAAGGAAACATTTAGAAAAAAGGCACAGTTAATCGAGCTACAATTTTTGTGGGTAAATTTTCTGCTACTTCAATATACGTTTGATGGTTGAATAATATCTGTCAAAACACTCTTTGTGTGATGGACGTCCTGAAGGAACATTCCCTGGCATTTAATACTACTCTTTTAAGAAAAGTGGTACTACATGATGGTTTTTCCTAAGCTTTTAGTTACAATGATATTTTAGATACTAAATATGGTATAGGATTAAGTGTGTGAGTATATGTGACAGATGTCAGCGTGACGTTAAAGATGTCATCAACGTAGGCGATAGGAAATTCTTTTAAAATCATCAGAAGACTTGATAAAAGAGCACAGTCTTGTACTGGCTAGCCTATATATTGTTTACATTGTATTGTGCAGTAATATGTTGTTTGCAATCATTCATTTATTAAATATTAAAATATTTATTGTGACCACACCAATCAAGTCTACTCATTTTTACAAGAGTTGTACCACTTTCGTACGCAATATCGTTTCATAGAAGGTATATTTATTTGATAATAATACTGTCTGCCATATAATTTCATAGAAGTATAACCTTATCCTTAAGTCACCAGGCACCTACCATCTACTAGTTTATTTTTTTATTAANGTAAAAAAATTTTTATTTTTTTTATTTTTTATGAAGTACTGTAATAAATTCGACCGAAACTTCTGCAAGCTTTGTAGGATTACGTACATAGGTCGTTGAACAAAAGTTGCGATATTTCATGAAGACTATCTTTAAAAATGACCGATTCAACTATTTTAAGTCAGAACTTTTTTTTTGGATAGTGTATACCAGTTTTTTCATCATACGTTTTTTGGATCAAGTCCATAAAAATTTCTACGAGGCCGTAAGATCGAAAAAAGAGGCCAAAACGTCATCATCGCAACAAAAACATTTGAAAATTTCATTTTCTGCAACTTCCAGTGCCTAAGCATTGATTTATCAATTTTTTGCTGTGTACTATTTAAAAGTTTGTGGTGTCAAGCCCCGTTTTTAATAATTTACAACTAAAAACAAAATATTTTTTTTTAAGTACGGGACATTGTTTTTGTAAAGCTTACTTTTGATACTTTTAAATTGCACACCACAAAAGATCTAATTTGGCTAAGTGATTAATTTTTAGACACTTGGAATGGATCGTTTTGCATTAAAGAGTGTACGAGAATACAGTTAAATTTTTTTAGACCGAAAATACGTTTAATTTTGATGTTCTCTAATTTGCCTAACATACCAACAATTATTTTGTTACTATCAATTGTCAGTTATCAAGTTGTACAAGTCACCGTGAGCTTATTTCATCTATCCATTTTTTTTATCATCGGTCGCTTTACTTTCACTATCTTTCACGATCTTTGACATAAGCAAAATATTTTTTCTTAATTTTTGGTATAAAATAAACATTTTTTAAGTCAATGTAAGACTTATGCGAATGGTTACTAAAATAAAATTTTATTTTTCGTATTTTTGCAGCTCCTTTTTTTGTTTTGCAAAATTACTTCTTACAGTTAGCTTAAATTTATATATTCACTAGAGAATTTATACGTCTTTACAATGTGCTCAGTACTACCACTGTCTAATAACCAATCTTGCCACGTGACCGAAATTTTTCTATTGCTATTGTCCCATTTGTACTGTCTATTATTACATGTAATGTAGTTGACTTAATTTTAGATTTATTTTCTGCTCTTTTTTTTGTTAGATATTGGCGATACTTTAACACATATCTCCTTTTTTTGGCTCTGGTTATAACTCTTCCATAAGCTTTGAGTTCTCTTAATTCTCGCTCAAACTCTGCAAAAAAATTCTTCTATTATTTTCTAAAAATTTTTAACTTAGCTTGTTCGATTTTTTCTCAATCAAGCAGTACTGTAGGTTTAGTCATATACAGTTTTTCCAATTATTTGAATTGTCTGTTCAACACTGTGTTTGCGATAATCGCTTATGTATTAAGGTCACCTTGATTTTATGTGGCTTCTGAGTTTGCATTTGTTATGACTCTGGTAGCGTGTTGTTTACATTCTTTACAATCTAGTCGCATCAGCAATCTAAATTTTCAACTGCTAAATTCTTCTTCACCGAAAATTACGATAACGTCAATTTTCACATGTCGGCCTTTGTCTCTCACGTATTTTCAACTCTTCTAGAATTTTCTTTTATGCAAGTGTTTCTCTTGTTATTTTCACAAAACTTTTTTTTTAACATTCCAAGAATTTGTCAACACTAAAGGCTATAGCAGGATAAGATAGTTAAAACTACACTTTTCTGGATTTTATATTGGAGTTGACCATTTAGAAGTACTTGAGTCAGAACCCTTTCCAGCTAAATTTTAGGCTATCTAGGTGCTAATGTAGACCACCTCATCTTAAAAACGTGTGGTTGCAAAAAAATTATTTCCGCTCCGAATTGCGGTATTTGAAAAATTATTTACGCCCCAGAACATATTTATAATTCAGAAAAAACCATTTTTTCCAGTATACAATCCCAAAACCAATGGAGAAATGAATATTTATAAACATTTTTATGACTATTTGTTAAAAAGTGTGAATTTTACTTGCCATAACTACTAATTTTTCGTTACTAATAATGCTCAAAAATCAAAAGAAGAATAAAAAAAAAAATTAAGTTTCTAGAATATTACCTTAAAAATACTCATCCAACAGATCTTAAGACATTGCAATTGTTCTAAAAATTTTTTTTTCTTTTGTAGGTGCAAAGGACCGAGGCCTTTTTAGATAAAGAGTTATTTTATTTATTAGTAAATCAGACTAATTAGTAATTTATTTCTATGCTAATTCATTTCTAAATTAGTAAAAGTGTGTAAATATTACTTATAGAAATTAATTATCCTAAAAGAATTATTAATATCTTTGAGATATTATTAACATATAATGAAGTTACATTTCAAAATTTGTAACTAATTAACGAAATTGACAATACGAATAATTTTTGAAATTAATTTATAATATTTTTAGTCCTTCTCACTATTCTCGTTTATTGCACGATCAATATCTGAAGTTTTGAATAATTCCAAAAGAATATTTGCTAGTCTAATAATTTTTTATCTGTATCAAGCATTACTAAGATAATATATGACTGCAACAATGTGAGAACAAGATCCTACAGCTCGTAATCTATTGACACATGTACATGTATGATGTAGGATATCCCTGTATCCAATTGTGTTAGGTTTATTTGCAACGTAAAATTAGTAAGTTTTTTTTTTATATGCCTGGACCTTAATAATACTTTTATTTCATTAGGTTTTATTTTAATTTATTCTAAATTTATGTTGTTATCATCATCCATTAATTAGGTTAAGTAACATATGGCTTGACCTAATTAATAGGTTCTCGAAGAAAATATTTTTAGATCTCTTTCACTTGACTCTGAAAAGTCAATAATTTTATTAGATGTTATCTTCATCGAAGTAATGGGCCGTCAAAACCATCTGTCTGTCTCAGCTTCTATTGCTGAAGTATTTTCATATTTATTAGCATTTAACATTCTTTCGATAATTACACCATCATCATCTTTGTTGATATTTAAACGCTTACCAACAAAGTTATTGAAAAAACATGCAATTCTACAATATGCACCAGCTTTCAGAACAAGTTTATTATTTAATTTCTGGCAAAGAAGTTTTTACTTCTTACCCAGGATGCCATGAACAGCCTCTACAGCCCATCTTAATTTTGTTACGTAACAAGATTCATTCACTTCAGTTGTACTCCAGTTTGGTCGATTTTTCTTTAAGGCAGGCATGAGAACCTTTGAATCAAGATTTTATGAATAAGATACCACATTCCTAAAACCTCTATCCACACTGCAAATATCATCTTTTCTCATGATAGTTTTTATACTATTTGAATCATCTATTCCTTTCTTCATGATGCTTGCATCATTTTCTGTGGCCAAAAAAGTATCAGGGAGATCAACAATGAATACATCTGTGGTGCACAATAGTAAAAGGCTTGACCAAAGGATATTTCTTATGACCTGAATATGATTTTTGTTAGTACTCATTATTTTCACTCTTTACATGAGGTAGATATGTTCCATCAAAAACCAAAGCAAGCTCGGTTGTCAAATTAAACAATTTGTTGCATAAACGGAAGTGTGATCACGGACAAAATGATCCTCTTTTAATACTTTTCACACCAAAATACTTAGGTAAGACATCTTTTTCAAATGAATTAATTACTGACTTACAAAAATTAGAAACTTTAATTTCGAAAACAGATGAAATAAAATTATTCGAAGATGCAGTTCGTAATTTAAATAAGCAAATAACTAGAGCTTCTATGACGTCTCTAAAAGCTGATGATCTCATGGAAACTAATAATTTTCTTACCTTTTGCAATTGATCAGTCGAAAGACTAGTAGTAGAGAATACTTATTTTTCGTTAAGCTCTGATAATTTTATTCTGTCTGAAAATGTTTTTGGAGCTTTATCTGAAAATTTCTTTAAAAATAAACATATTTTATCTATAGTTAAAAAACTAGTATTACTGTATACGTGTAGGAGTTTCAGATCATCATAAAAAAATTGTTTTTTACTTAAATGTTAAGCAGAAACTCGATTTTCATAAGGAGGTATGATTTTCGTTTCCTTAAAACACAGCAGTCTTGCAATTAATGGTACAAGAGTAAAGTTATTTTCACTTCTACAGATGCAACATGTTGTATGAGAAATAAAAGTTTTCAGAAGGGACAACTCTATGGTGGATTTTTTCCTTAGGTGTTCTTGTAGTTACCTCAAAAATGTCTTAGAACTTGCCATTTTCAAACTTGACTGAGTGTTTGTTGACTGACTTTCATCACTGGTTTCATATTCTACTTACACAGTTGATTTTTTGGGTGCCTAAAAAAACAAGACTTCCACACTTATCGCAGAGTATAAACCCAGTTTTAATATTATCCTTATTCAACTGCTCACAAACAGCTTCGATCTCACTAGCTGAATTAATGATTTTAATCTGAGCTGACATTCTACTGAGATTTCGCTTCAAGCAATTGCAGCATTGATCAGTTGCATCAAATTCGTCCATGTTTGGTGCAAAAACTGAAATGGCAAATATTTAAAATATATTAAGAGATTATAAAAGTCATTACGAAAAATACAACTAATTAAAAAAAAAAATTAATTGTTTCATAATAGATCTTTTCAAAAGTCACGAAAACATTATGTGATTATCACGAAATCAATGAATTTGATAATGTCACATAATTTTTTTTTTTTCCAATAAATGTAATGAACTAAAATTTTTTGATAAAATTTGCTTACAGAAAGCTAAGGGACACTTAACAATTGTAATTTCATACAATCATTTGTCTGCTAGTTTCAGCTTCATTTATTTATCACACTGACGCACAGTGGGGCCAATCGAGAAAAAAACGTTCAAAACCACCTATAGTCTTTGAATCGATTTCTGATTTTTTCTCACAGTGCTTTATATATATACAATCTGCAGCCAAAGACAACTATAAGACATTAATAGTAAGTTGAATGAAGAAAAAAGTGAAAAAAACTTTGTCGATTATGGCTGTTGGCACGCGAGTGAAGAGCATTTCTCGATTACACCCCCCCCCTGGCGGACTTCTTCCTACTAGCATGGTGGTAGTTAAGCCATGTACTTGACTTAGAAAACAGTATTTTGGTATCGATTATGAAGTCAAATTATATGTAATTCGGAGGTAACACTTCTTGTGCAATTCAATTGTCTAATGTATTTGTCTTATGAATTTTAATAAAAATTAAAACGTAAATACCGATATAATGTACATAATTAACTTACTTTTCATAAAAATAACTATTGTTTATAACATTGTTTCTGAAATGTCACTTCTCGGTTGTATAATCACAAAATTAGTGTTCAAGAGATCGAAAAACTTGAGTAATCCTGTGCAAGAATTTGGATATAAAACAAGTTATTTATTACAATGTCGTGTGAACTACTGAATTAAAGGATTTTAAACGCTAAAAACATACACAATTGGGGGCATGTTACGTCAAATCTATTCATTAAAAATAGTAAAACCGTTGAAGAACATTGAAGTATAGTGTTGAAATGAACGTTTAAGCTTTCGTGAGTTCCAAGAAAACTGTCAAATAAATGTGTAAGATGCAATTGAAAATTTTAAAAAACGTGATTTTTTAAACTTAAGGAATTGTTTACTGAAAAACTACGCATCGTAAAAAAAATCATGGAAATGTTTTTTGCTACTAATACGATTTTTTTCTTTATTTTGGGTAAAAAACAGACACTAATTAAATTTATTTTTATATTACGGAAGTAATCATTATTATATGTCTATAAGGTAAGAAACTCAATACTCGATGAAAAGCAATTGCTTAACCACACACAACACCAACACAAATTAGTTTTAATTTAGGACAAAACACCGAAAAACGAGGAAGATGAATGGATTTTCAGAGATGGTTCTGATGTTCGAACGCAAAACTCTGCCGCACGAAATTAAATCATGCTTCACAACCAAAAAATTCAAGCCATACGTGGCTTCTTCTATGCAATACTATAAATGCTTCGGCTTTTGATATACAGCTATACGTTGTAGAAAAAAGGCGAAATGTATTATGTGTGACCAAGATCAACATGAAGAAAGGAGTTGTGATATTCTAGTGTGTTTGTGTACAAATTGTAAAGAAGCACACAGGAGAATAAACTCTAATTGTGAGATGCGTAAGGCTGAAATTAGGATATAAATCCCTAAGGCTTATGATTCTACTAAACGCATTGAAGCGGCATCCGGTGCAGATCAAAGAGAAGCCCCTCGTACAACAAAAGAAAATTATCCAGCCCAAAAAAACTGTCCGAAGGTAGAGTGTACTAAAGAAGTACAGTAAAGTTATATCTGAAACAATCAATCAAACGTAAGAAAACAACCTACAGTAAGTAGCCGATACAGAACCAGCTACGTCAGAAATGACCTTATCTGATAATACCTAATGAGCTTGAAGGTGGGCTAGATCCTTATCACACATTTACACAGTTCACACCATTATTGGGGGAGAGGGGTATTATACAGCTTACTGCTAGTGGGCGACTTTAACAAGCATTATACTTTCTGGAGTAGTGACAAAATATACACACCATATACAATAACTTGGCCTTAAACGAATTCTTTTTTTTCAACAATAGACAAGTCACGCCTTTTTATATTAAAAACGATGAAATAAATTACTCTAGAACTGATTGAATATTTTTATACATAAATTCAGCCTTAAATACTAACTAGAACATCATTAACGACTTCGTGGGGAATGAGTTTTTCATGTTAGATATTGAACTAAACACATCTCTAAACTTTGACCATAGGCTAAACAATATATACATTTTCAAATAATTATAACTATATAATTTCTTTGCAGTTTTGAAGGAGAGCCATCGAGAGAGAGGACCGTAACAAGGTTTGTAAAAAAGCCTTTTTGAACGAATTTCGTATACTATTTTTTCGTCTGAGAATCCAAAATCAAGCGGCGAAGATACTATTTTAAAGTTAGAAGACGGAAAAATTTTTTTTGATCCTCGCAAAAACCTAGGTATCATAATCTTAGTCTATCAAGAACAATATCTATCAACTGTTTCAGAAGTAACCACTTATTTCTTAATAGCAGTCCACACAAATATTAAATTGCAAAACCATGTACATGTAAGTGTACAAGAAAATCTAATACAGTAAAGCATGTATCCTTGTGTTGTGAATTTTATGAAAACAAAAGAAAATAAATAATAAAAAGAACTTCACTAGGTCAACCTGTACTGCCCCTTTCTGATAATATCTTTTAAAAAATATAATATCATATAACGTTAATTAATGAAAACAATAATACAATTAATATTATTACAGAAATTATTACAAGAAATGGTACTAATATCGACGCCCCGGACAAAGACTATGCCTTGCTTCGAGGCCTGGACGAAGACTATACCTTTTTCCGGAGTTTGGACAAAAACTATGCTTTTTTGTCTAGTCCAGACGATAACTATGCTTTTTCGGAATCCCGGACAAGGACTACAATCTTTTTTGGATTACAGACGAAAACTATGCCCTTTTGTCTAGTCTAGATTAAAACTATACCCTTTGTTTTTAGTCCGGGTGAAGATTGTTCCATTTTTTCTGAGTCTGGAAAATGATGTTGACCTTTTCTGGAGCCCAGATGAAATGAAATTCATTTAAGCTTACTTTAAATTTGTGTTTACAATTAGATATGCTCGTATAGTCAAAAATATAAATTTAGTGGCTGTTGTCTACAGTCATTATAACATGCACTTTACGAAATCTTTTAAAAAAGACCTTCTAAGAATTAAGATTATATGTTGTTTTTTTGTGAAGGCATCTATGAATTCACGTGCATGTGAGTCTCAATGTGAAGATAAAACTTATAACACAAACACTTGGACCCAAGTATCACGAAACCTTAAAATCTTTTTTTGTCTTAGGAAAAGTACAACACAAAAGAGGTCAGTAAGTAATATTTGGATATTTTCTAGCTTAGTTTTAGCCCAGACTTAGAAAAAATGGCAAACTTTTCGTCCGAACTAGAAAAAACGGCATAGTTTTTGCACGCACTTCAGAAACGGGCATAGTCCTCGCCCGGACTCGAAAAAAGGGCATAGTCTTCACCTGAGACTTGCAATCAAAGTAAGTGGGTCTAGTTATGATACTCTCAAGCGGATAGTCGATTACCATAGTCGTTTACCTGCATTTTATTAAGAGCACAGATGTTAGCCATGCAGCTGGGTATCTCAGCTACCGACAACACTCTTCCCCAATGGACAATTGTTTTACGTCAAATAATACCTTGAATCGCCCAAATTATCAAGTGCCACAAAAACAGGCCTTCTAAACGCCAACGTCTCTAGAAATACTTAGAGCTATCCAGCCACAGCATAATCTGCTTCAACGCTTTCGGGTTTTGTGGCAGTTTTTCCGACCGACCTAGTGCTACCAGAGCACATTTTGCTACAACAATAAGCCAGGAAAAACAATTTTGAAGAGTCCGGGCAGCCACATTGACTGGAAATTTAATCAGTCTCCTTCTCAATGGTTCATTCCGATGGCATACCGGGTGAGAAGATTCTTTCCAGACTCAGTTCCCCGACTAATGGTGAGCAGTTGGTTATCCAGGGAACGGCCCGACGACAAGATATTCTTTGGCCAGCGGCATACCTCTTTCCAGCATGATCTTCCAACGCAAAGAGAGTCAAGCTACACGCAGACCGCTCTCCATCATTGAGAATAATAATAAGGCATGACTGAAAGTATCACTACTGGCTCTTTTTAGGTCCATGATTATTCTCTAAGTTTACTAAATAACTGGAAAGTGTAACTCCTTCAGAATTTTTACTGGCTCGTTTTTTACAACTTCAATATTATTTAGAGTTTACATCCACAATGAAGCACCACTCAGTTTTCTTGAGCAAAAATTTTTTATTTATGTACTAGTCAATATTTCATCTCGTCATGGAGACCTTTTCAAGACTCTCACTTTTTTACGCAAAAACCTGACGCACTATAAACCAACAGTTTTATTTTATAAAGAAACCATGTTATAAATAAAGGAAAGAAACTTTTACGATAATTATTACTTATGATAAACCGTAGGTAGACTGTTCACACCGACGAACAAACAGGCAATGAGACTATAAATGACCATCAATCTCATCGGTTGTTTTTAGGTCCATTTAACCTTATACTACCTTGCCAACACATATATTTTGACAACTATTTCCAAGAAATGATTCATCCACTAAAAAACTCCATAAAGCCGGCCATTATTGAATCAAGTCAGTCATTCACTGGCAGACGTCGCGAGCAAAGTTGTTCATCGAGAGGCCGGAAACCTTTTGGAAGTTGGCATCGTAAAAATAGCATACACATAAACAAAACATGAAATAATTAGCCGTAAATAAAACGTAAATAAACCGTGAAAACAAACATTTACCTCAAAAACAGAAACCCCAAAATCAGTTTGTATGCTAGCTTCAAAGAAAGTTAGCATGCAAAAATCG